CAAAAATTACACAGTTAAAACTGGGTAAAGCATATGATATGCATAGAGAGATTCTCTTATCATGACGTATCCCTCTTAAACATCAAATCAAAAGGAGGGGCAGCTAAGGTTTTCTACTCTCGGTTTGTCCTCTTCCCTTTTACTTTTCATTCCATTTTATAAACTCAAAATCAAGGCCAAATGATGTTGAGAAATCAACAAAAAGATTTCCTAGTTAAAATAAAGAGTCTGACAGCGTACCTGAATTTAAAGAAGTACGTGGGAGTACGGAAAGGGATTTGCATCCATTTCTTAAGAATGTCATACATAACCTTTAAGCCATCCTTGGGTAATTGGGATAGTCCTTCCTCATTATGCACTATGTTTGCCTTACGTTTCAAGCCAGCAATCCCTGAAACCGCATAATTACAAACACTAAGAATATCCCTTGCTTTAGAACCAATCTTACATGCTTGGGTTCTTGACTGCATGTGAAAACAATCCATGGGATTTCTACCCGGCTCCAATAGCAGACATAGATTTCTCCTGGTTTCATGGTTAGTGTTCCCCAACCGTCCAACTAGATTTTGAACCAACATTGCGTCTAAATCTCTCTCTAGAATTCCCAGACCACTATTAGAAATAGGTTTAGTTAGGCTCGGAATGTAGAGAGCAAATCCAGTACAGAAGGCCAACAGCGAACAACTCATTGCAAGTTCCGAAATTATTTTTGAACTCTTGTTGTCCATGTCAATGAAAGATGTTGTAACTAGATCAAATTCTCGTGCTAGCCTCTTCAACTGCAGAGATATTTGATTAATTTTCTGCAAAGATATGTTCTCGACCTTCACAGTATTGGTAGTGTTGTCCTGGTCAAATGGAATGTTTCCCAAAATTTTAACTATATCCACTACAGCCCTTATTACCTTCAATCTTAAGGACAAAAACCAGTGTTGGAAAAAAAAAGTGTGGCCCGTTTTGACATCACCAACTTTTAATGTTTCCAAAGAACAACAAAGACCATTGTAAGCTGCTGCTATCTCTTTGCTGTAAATATGCTCCTTGATATTACTTGCTGCATCTTGGCAACCTAAATCATTATTGGAAGGGGTAAGATGTAATTTATGTGTCTCTAACCCTTGTTTCGGTAATAGCAGCAGCTCTAGTTTCCTCTCAGAATCAGCAAATTGAACTAATGACTTCACCCAGCAGCTGCAGGAATTAGAACGAACCTTTAATACTAATTGCTTGAATATAAAAGTCGTGGTCAGCCAATCTCCTTGACATGCTGCATACACCCCGACTTTATAAGCAGGCCAATTATTTTTTTCTGCCAACATCCTCTTTGCGCATTCAATGGTAAGAAGTTCATGCTTCATTGAGTAATTATCAAGAGATATGCCCGAGTTTTTATTAGGATTGCAACTACCCTCACTCTCATTTCCCATGTTACCCCAAATTTTTTGACAACACAGCAACAGAGAGTAGAGTGTGTATGTATAACATTCAAACAAGTTGCTTTGGCATACAAGTTCAACCAGAAGCTTCACTTTGTCAAATACTTCGGTGGAGATGGCACCTGCTTCAGTCAGATTTTCGAGAAAGGCCACTAAAAATCTGTACACCTTAAATAGAAGCTTTGATCTGACAATTCTACTCTTCTCTCCTCTCAAGTCTACACTATGATGAACAAACGCATCTGTTTCTATTGTCGCAACGAGATTGTCATCCATATATAATAGAGACTTCACTAAAACAGACATTTGATCCAGCACTAAGACATGTAAATCCGGATATTCTCGGATTACAAGGAAAAGAAGATTGAACAGGCAGTTAACTTGTTGAAACTCAACACTGTCAGCTTGACAAAGATCCAAAATTGGCTTCACCAATATGGTGATATGATCTATGATAAGCAAAATCACCTGAGATGGTTGAAGAGAGGAACAACGCACAAGAGATCCCATCCCTGTACTTCATTTTAGTCTTCTTGACATATCTACTAAAACAGAAATAGCCAACAGGCTCTCGATCATGATAGGAGACTGGGATGCATTCTCAGCAATGCTTAAAAGCTTTGAAGATTCAAGGACATCAGAAGGTAGATTGGGTGGCATAAATAAAATCATCTGCGAAAATGCTGAATGTGAGACAACATAAATTGAACAACAAATAACAAGTTCATTTGTATGAGTTGAGAAACAACCTTACGTAACGTCTGAAGAACTTCACATAGCATGGATGTTGGAATTTGAGGTTCATCTAGTATGCTTAACAATGTTTTCACAAGATAACCATTTACAGGAACATGACACATTCCTTGACTGAAAATAAAATGTAGGCATCTTACTGCTGTTGCTCGCAGATGAAGAGTTTTTTCATGGCTAAGAAACAAGAGAAGCAGGTCCACCTGCATTGAGATAGCAATAAGAATTATGGGCCAAAATTTTTGAGAGAGGGTGGGTGCAACCAAAATAATTACCTGCTGAGATATAAGAATGGTTGACTTGGAAGCAAGTTTTGAGAGGGAAACCAGCATCGCAACCTGGTAATACTCATCTGAGAACTCCGACAGCAATTTTAGACTTGCCTGCGACAAAGCAATGTTCAGTGAACATTAGAATCTAATACAAAAGTGAAAAACTAATATTCTAAATGCAACAATTTCCAATAGAAGTCAGGTAAAAAAATTGAATTATAATTAAACCTTGTAAGCATTATTTGCAAGAGACTGGGAGCACCCAAGTTTGGCAAATAATCGTGCTCCGGCCAACCTTATAGCAGGCAACGTTTCTGGTGAGCTCATCATATGAAGCAGCATCTCCAAGACAACACATGCAAAGTCGTCTGATAACTCAGCAAAACATCCTGCTGCAAATAACGCTGCTTGTACCTCCAAAACATGAGAAGAAACCATACTAGAAAGCACCAAGTATCGCATACTCGCACTCTGTTTAGCAAAATGTGCCCAACAGCCAAACAGACCCAAAGCCAAAGCCCGATCTTCAACATCCTCATTGTCAAACACAACCTTAACTCTCCTCAGCAATTCTGCCTGCATATGAACCCGAGTTTCGCACAAAACTCCTTTGTACTCTTTCCGTTTGTTCCTCTTCCTGTACTCAAACAGAAAGGCCTTGACAATACAGACCCTTGTGTGCTTGTCTCCAAATTCGAAGGCATTGGCAAGACGAAGAATGATGGCATTTGAGAAGAGCTTGTCCTCCCCAGGAATTAGGTCGAACAAGTGGTAGACAGCTGGAGAAGGGTTTGGTTCTTCACTTAACTGTTGAAGTCTTGGACTGATTTCTGAAATGCCTTCAAGCGATCGACCTGGTTTCTTGGAGCGCAGGGCCTTTTCTAGCTCTATGCTCCATTCCATCACACATGCTGCTGAGTTCCTTTCCATTTCAGCTCAAACTTCAAAATAGAAAATAACTTTAGAATCAAATATGTTTGCACCAAAAGAATTCAAAACAAACTCATAATCCATCAGCAGAGGTTTACAAATACTAAGAAACTTTTTTTCCCTTTTTGAAGCCTTGAAATAACTTGAAAATATAATCTTTCTCTAATCAATAATGATAAATACAACTCACCATTCAATAGACAAAGGAGATACTCAGTTACATGTTTGATCAATCAAACTGAAGGCACTCAATATCAGTCAACAACAATAGAATCCATCAATGTCAAAACACATTTGAGCTCTTACACACACGTTTAATAGCATTCCTTACAAAATTCTTTAACATTTATGAAGTCCTGAATAGTAATTACTGACTCTTAACAGCCCAATATTATATCAAACCAATCCAAAAAGATATAATCACTTTCATAATTGTTGTATTGTATAAAATTTCCACAACATACACACGCAAAATAAAATTCCTTGTCCCAAGAAATAACAATGAATTGAACATGGCATCATAAAGAAGATAAGAATTAAGAACTAAAGACATCCTCCCCAGGAATTAGGTCGAACAAGTGGTAGACAGCTGGAGAAGGGTTTGGTTCTTCACTTAACTGTTGAAGTCTTGGACTGATTTCTGAAATGCCTTCAAGCGATCGACCTGGTTTCTTGGAGCGCAGGGCCTTTTCTAGCTCTATGCTCCATTCCATCACACATGCTGCTGAGTTCCTTTCCATTTCAGCTCAAACTTCAAAATAGAAAATAACTTTAGAATCAAATATGTCTGCACCAAAAGAATTCAAAACAAACTCATAATCCATCAGCAGAGGTTTACAAATACTAAGAAACTTTTTTTCCCTTTTTGAAGCCTTGAAATAACTTGAAAATATAATCTTTCTCTAATCAATAATGATAAATACAACTCACCATTCAATAGACAAAGGAGATACTCAGTTACATGTTTGATCAATCAAACTGAAGGCACTCAATATCAGTCAACAACAATAGAATCCATCAATGTCAAAACACATTTGAGCTCTTACACACGCGTTTAATAGCATTCCTTACAAAATTCTTTAACATTTATGAAGTCCTGAATAGTAATTACTTACTCTTAACAGCCCAATATTATATCAAACCAATCCAAAAAGATATAATCACTTTCATAATTGTTGTATTGTATAAAATTTCAACAACATACACACGCAAAATAAAATTCCTTGTCCCAAGAAATAACAATGAGTTGAACATGGCATCATAAAGAAGATAAGAATTAAGAACTAAAGACAGGATGTTAAAAAGCCTAAGATCAATACATTTTTCCCCCAATCGGGGTAAAATAACTCTACCATAAGTGGCAACAAATAGACCCAACTCGACAAAAAATATACAATCATACAATCAAACAAAATGAAAAACCAACGCAATATCTTACAATAAACACCAAACTAGAAACTAATATTCTTTGTTACATTTTGGGGCCAGAAGAAGAGAATGTTTAAAAATTTAAACTATTTCCTTTATTGAACTAAAAACTCTATTTTTTCCCTTAATTCCACATTCAGCAGTTTTTTTTTTTTTTTGAAAGGAGACAGTATTATTCAACAAAGAAACAACAAAACACAAGATGGCCAAGGAGGTCACCAAACAATTAGAGGGGTAACCCTCTGCACTACAAGACTACTGCTTTCCAGTCTAGATGGATGAGCTGAAAACTAATCTCCCTAAACTCTGCTGAAACAGAAACCCAAAATGAAGTCCAGAATCGGATACGATCCCAAAGCTGCTCTATCTCATCTCCAGCCATATCCTAAAAAATCCTCCTATTCCTTTCCCCAAAATTACCCAAAATATTGCCATCATGGCACAATTTCCCACCACTGATCTCTTCCTCTTACTGCCAAAAAAGTTCAGTCTTGCTTCCAGCACCGCATTACAAGTTGCGTAGTTCCCCCACGTTAGCCCTGCCTCCTGAAATAGCTTAGCCCACAGGGAAGCAGCAATAGGACATAACAAGAACAGATGATCTACGGTTTCACTATTTTTTTGGCACATGACACACCTGTTAGGGGAAAAGTACCAGCCATGTCTTTTCCTTTGAACCAAGTCGCAAGTGTTGACTCTGCCTTGTTTGATTAGCCAAGCTAATAATCTAACCTTATGAGGGGCTTTACCTTTCCATATTACAAAGGAGGGAGAGTAGGGAGTTGGTTGGGGGTTACCCATCAGATGCCTAGAGAATGACTTACAGGAGAATTCTCATGAGGACTCCAACTTCCATGCTCTAGTGTCACTTCTGTTCTGAACCAGCACCACGTGTTCCAACCTTAAGAACAGCGTGGACAATTCTTCAATTTCTTCCTCCCTTAGATTCCTACGAAACCCAAAATCCCAGCTCAGCGGAGAGGAATTTGTGTCTATGCAGATATCAGCAGTTTTGACCCGTGAGCTTTTTAGGTAATTCAAAATTTGTCATAATAACTAGCATTTGACCCATCAAGAAATTTGTTAGCTTTGAGCTCAAAATACAGAAAATTATGGTTTAGAGATATTACCTCAAAGAGACAGAAAAATCGAGATAGGGAGACTGAGAGCGGGAGCGACAGAGAGAGCTGGAGCGACACTCAGAGAGCGAGTCGACTGTGACCAGTATCATAAAAAGCCCAAAGTAAAATCAATTCAGTGCCAGTGCTAACCATAAGCCCTTTTACACTTTCTTTTAGGAATTGAATTAGAGACAAGGCATTCAAAGACTGGTATTCCAAAAAACATAAAGAAAACAAAATAGGATGGTACCTGGGACAAACCTTGGTCGCTGCAGCGAAGCCCCGTAGATGTATGGACGATAGTTGGAGGCATTGTAATAGTAATTCACAATCAAGCTTCTCAAAAACTTGTAATAAAGCGGTGAGACCTCCAAGTCATCTTCCACAACAAACGCAAACTCGTTGTCCGAGCTGGGCCACCAGGCCTCCAACCATTGGGCCCGCAGGCCTGCATTGGCAGTCCGGTAATGGATTAGCTTGTCCCCATATTTCCACTCAAACCCGTCTAAAAACTCTAAAATGCGATGTGACTCCTTCAACTTCTGACCAACATTTGAAGATGCATCCCTGAGGGCAAAATGGTCAATGTAGCCGTGGAGTTGGACCTTGTCAGTGAGATAGTCGGCAGCAGCGAGGGAACGAAGGCAGCGAGTAACAGATTCGAGGCGGTTGAAGGTCAGGACCTTGACAATGAAGGTGAAATTGGGGTTAGAGTTTGGGTCTTAGGCAAGGAGAGTGAACTTAGGGTTTGGGTTTGGGTCTGGGGAGGAAAAGGGGAGAGAGGAGTGGTAGTAGGAGAAGAAGAAGAGGATGGAGACAGAGAAGAAGAGGAGTGGGAGGATGTCTCTTGGGTCTCACCATTTTTGTAGGGCTAGGGCTGGGTTTTGAAGGTAAAGAAGGGCAGTTGTGTGTGCGCTGGTGAAGATATCAAAATTACAAGTAGGAATAAACTTAATGAACCAAGGTGTCTTCTCTCCCATCTTTTTGCACCAACCCTTATTGTCATCTGCAATTAAAGTTCACACCTTAGCTGAGAAATAATACTATGATGAGTTTGGTCTATGAGACTAAGAAGATGGATTTGCTAGATAATATTATTTTGTGTTTGATTTATAGGGTAAATTACTCAAATGGTCCCCAAACTTGTACGTGATTTACATTTTGGGCCCTGAATTAAATTTTTCGTTCAAATGGTCCATCAACTCTATATTAATTACTCAAATGGTCCCACCGT